TAAGCTAAGCTAACCGACTGCTGCCTGTAGCTTCATACTGAAACAGACAGCAGACATGAGAGTGATATCATCTTCCCATTTAACTTTCAGCAAGGAAGCGAATAACTTCCCAAAAATATCAAACACCCACATGACCTGGACGACTTTCTATTCTTGATGTAGGAGTTTTCACCAACTCCTCCCGCAGATCACTCGTCAAGATCTGAGATATTTTTAGTCTGTCCTGCACACACCGCATGTTTCAGATCTACCCACAGACTCTCAGCGATGTTCAGGTCAGGAGACTGTGAGGGGCCGTCTGTTTTCCGAAGATCACTCATGGTGGATTGTGAGGTTCGCTTCGGATCTTTCCGGCTGATTATTTTCACCCACACGTTTAACAACTACGAACAACAACAACAACGAAGGGAGATTACTAAATACTGACATAGTAGGGTGTCCCAACTTTTCTACATGCCACAATTAATGTTTCCTTTTTTCTATTTTTTCATCATGAAATTAAAAGTAACATTAACATTTGAAGAAGCAACAGTAAACTGTTATGTTATATACACAGCTGAGTAGGGGCAGAGTTTTGTAGCTTTTCAGTGAGTTTGACGAGTTCAAATCCAAATGCAGCTTCAGATACTTTTTCCATCCTGATGAGAATAAAAATTTGCGGCTGAGTTTTTGTCATTTTCTGAACGTTGTCAGAGCTTTTGTCCTTCAGTATGAAATATCAGCAGAGTCAGAGCAAACAGATGAATGTCCATCTTTCCTGTTGTCTGCACAAATCCTTCAATCTCCTGACTCAGAGGTTGGATTGTCATGGTGCTGAATTTTATCCCCCCCCCCCTCCTCTCTGCTTTTCACCAGTCTCCATGACAACCAGCGTGAGTCACCCTGGAGACCAGCGAAACACATTAGCCCATGTCCTTTTTATCAGCCTCACCTTTCCCTCCGCTGTCAGCACGTTAGCGCAGGTGGCACCAACACCTCCTGTTTGTCCATCAACACAGAAACACACAGCAGGTGCATCACAGCGCAGCTTGACATGCCACTGTTTGTATGTTTGTTTAAGTGTGTGTGTGTTGGGGGGGGGGGTACAGCATGAATTGACATCTTTATGGCTGCAGAGAGGTTATTAGTCTTTTAAAAGAGCTCAGACTTATCTGTACTGCACACACACACACACACACACACACACACACACACACACACCCTACATCTGCAAACCAGCTCTCCCCCTCTCGCTGGTTAATTCCTCTGGACACACGTGGCAGGTTGGTTTCTGCGACTGTTCCAGTTTAATTAGCTGCTACTGAGATGTGGTCGCTCTGCTGCAGACAGCTGCCCGCGTCCTCTGCTGATTCGTCTGCCCAGCTGAACAGCAGGTTCGGGGGAGGAGATGGAGATCTGCCAGAGCGAGGCTTTGGACTCAAAGGATGTTGCATTAAAAGTACGAAACAAGCTTCAGTTACAGGTTTTCTACGCTTTAATTCTACATATAAAGGGAGAGTGATTTTTTGTTAAAAATTTAGATATGTAAAGTTGACTGTTTGTTTTAAGTAGAGTACATCTACAGAGTGACCACTGGGTACCACTTTCTAACAAGGCAGCAAGCTGTGATCAATGACTCTATTACTGGTTAATAAACCATTTATTAATGTTTTATAGATCAGTTATCAGACTCTAATGAGAATAACTTTTGAGTTGCCAGGTTGTGAAAAATCCTCTCTTGTTGTTGTGAAGACATCTGGACCCAGATCCATTTATAAACACACTTCATTGATTACTGTAGAACCCTTACTTAAGTATTTATTAACATTTATAAGTGACTGATTAACTTTTGCTAATGTCTTATTGCAAGCTGAGAAACCCATTACTCTTCATTAAGGACTTAATGATTTCCCTGGCAACCGAAAACTGGTTGTTACTAATGGCTTATAACTGAACTGCAAAGCATTAGTATATGATTTATTAACCATTAATAAAGACATTAATTACACCACATAAACCCTTGTCAGAAAACACTAATAATAATATCTATTTTTGTATCTAACTCGTGGCAAGAAAGCATTAAAGTTATTTTCCAAATTCCAATTTCTCCTTAAAACTGGGTGTTAATTTAAAATTGAGCTACTAGTGATGTGTGTGTAAATTAAACACACAGCCTGCTGAAAGAGATGCTGCCCACTGCTTTCACTGTAATCAATGAGGCAGCATCAGAAAACCCTGACAGCCCAGCCTGCCCCCCTCCCTCCTCTTCCTCCTCCTCCTCCTCCTCCTCCTCCTCCTCAGCGGGTAATCCTGGCCGGGCCGGCCGGCAAGAGGCTGCTCAGAGGAGGGGATGGAGGCCAGCACACAGCGTCATCTTGTTATGGAGCGTGTTAATAGTCAACATGAAGCGCATTTTAAGCCGATCAGCAGCGTGGAAAGGACAAAGCTGAGCCAAAACATAGTAACTGGAGTACGACTTGTAGTAGTAGTGTTTTTTATTGTGCATTAAGAGAAGCCTTATGGCTCTAATCTGGTTGTTTATTTCTGGATGCATGGCCATTTTCTTAACTTGATCACCGCATTGTAATAGAGGATCAACATTTAAAACATCCTCATGGCAGCCATGATAAAAAAAAAAGAAACATTAAGACCCTGATTTTTGCCTCTTAAAAGGAAACATCTACTGCACAGTTCTGTTTTGAAGTGGCGTCAGGGTAAAAGGAAATAATAACAATGATAATGAACAATAAAGAGCGCTCACCTCATCGCACGGCCGCAGGTCTCCGTCGGCGGACACGGATGATGTAAGAGCGGTGATGATGAGTAAAAGGCAGCGGGGGAACCTTGAGGCCCACACCTGCTCCCGCATCCTCAGCTCGGATCACAAACAGCCGGCTGTCCGCTGCCTGGAGCCACAAACATGAAACAGGCCGAGCGGTGAGGCTTTCTGTGGCGTCCCTGTCATTGATGCGCCTGCCTGCCTGTCTCTCGCCCTCCCCCTCCTCCTCCTCCACCTCCCCCTCCTCCACCCACACCACTGTCAAACCACACTGTTTATTAATGTCTCTTCCGGTCCGGCTTTCAGATTAAAACTCTCATTTTATTCCTAGAATGAAGTTTAGGAATAAAGATTTGACAAAAACTACAAGGTGCAGGACAGTGCAATGATAGTATTCTCATTCCCGCATATTATTATCATTATTAGGCTATTTATATTGTTAGAATTATTGGCAGTAGTAGGCTAGTAGTAGTATTGCTGGTCATATGATACATTTTAAATTTAAAAAAAGGCATTTTAAGAATTTATACACTAACATTAAAGTGATATAGAATTTTTGTCTAACAATAATTGCTGAAATGATGATAATTAATCAATGAGTCGATCAACAGAAAATGAATTGGCGTGGCAGGCAGAACATGTTTCATCTTAAAAGTCTGAGATTAACAACAGCAAAACTGTTGAGTAAAATCCTCCACATGACATTTGAACAATTCACTGGAACAATTTTCTCTGATTGGACATACAATTTGAAAATACTGGTGGCTAAAGACATTAACTGTGTCAAGGAGCGCCCTGCATCATATCAGAGATGGATGACAATGGCTGTCTAATGTCTTTTTTATTTATTAAAAGGTAATTTAAAGACTGCAGACCCTACTACTGTGTATGTAAATAATATTGGCTCGCTATGCTCTTATTTTGAAGGCACCACCGCCTGCTTCAGTGTGTTTTCTGTAACTTCTCTCCCTTCTCGGTGCTAAAGCCTCAGTCATACAGTGACGCCAGCAGTGTGATAACAAACGTTATCTTGATTGACAGCTGGACATGGACAACAGAACTGCTGATCTTCTTAAAACTTTGCACTGATAGACGAATATGAGCTGGAGAGTTCCATCAAACTGTGTAATTTCACAGATAATGTGGGCTTAGCAAAGAAGAAGTCTAGAAACAATAAAATCTTGAAACGGCCAAACTTTAGAAGTTTAGCAGCTAATGTTGGCTTTATAATGTCCAACCTTCAATACTGTGTAAAGTTTATTGAGGCTAGTCTCTTTTTCCAATAGTTATTTGGTAAAGTTAGCCATGTAATATTCAGTGTTTAGCATGAGCTGAAGCTATCTTTGTAATTGTAAGGTTCAAAAGTTAGCGGCTTATGCTAGCTTAATGTCCAAAGGTTAGCTAATGCTACCCTTGAAATTTTCAAAGTTAGCAGCTTATGCTAAGCTTAATGTCAAAAGGTTAGCTAATGCTACCCTTGAAATTTCCAAAGGTTAGCTGCTAACGCTAGCCTAATGTTCGAAGGTCAGCTAATGCTACCCTTGAAATTTCCATAGTTAGCAGCTAATGCTAGCCTTCCAGCGTAGGTATTAAACTCATCACGAAGCACAGGATTTTTAATTGGTCTTGCTGAGTGCTGCATATGTCAAGAGTTTCATGCCATGACCAAAATAAAACATTATGTTGTTCATCTATGTAAAGAAAGAAAGATTACATTTGATTATTATATTTGCATTTGTCTGATTGTGGTATTATTTAGTTTCTTCTCTACAGTACGTATGTCTTTTTCTCCTTGTAACGGACGGTATATCAAAAAGCAGGTGTAAAAACCTTTTATTAAAGGAAATGGAGGGAGTCCAGATGAATGACTGCATTTAACATTTTAGTATATATATGTACATTACACATTAGCCTTGTAGTAGCCTTAGTCATGTAGCCTAGGTGCACCGGACTTCTTAGTCTCCTATTGAAATAGGAACTTTTTGTTTTATTTTAAACGCTGTTTGAACTTTAATTTATTTCTTTCCTCACCTGTTGATGTCACATACTGCACTGAATCGGTTGTTTTTATTTTATATTTTTCTTGGTTTTGTGTAGATTTCTACGAGTGTAAGTTGATCAATATGACCAATTCTTCCACTTACCGGGAGGTGGCAGCAGCAGCTCTGCGAAAAAAAAAAAAACCTCACGAAGAAGAGTAAAACCCGGATATGATGTAAGTGCAGAATCAAAACAGTTAAAATTTGACAGCTCGGCATCGTCCCGCTAATGGTTTATAAAATGCAATGGGAAATGTTACTGCCACTGTCAGAAATAAACTACATTATCTAACCAACATCTTTAGAGACTGGGGCGACTTTTTAGCGGACTGTCGAGGAATGCTAACCCGAGGAAAAGGCTCTTTTGGCTAGTTTACCTAGTAACTGCAGCGGTTCTTCTCCGGCTAACTGATTAGCTCCCCCGGCTAACGAAAGTTGCTCCATGGCGATCTATGGGTTGAACATGACCATATATAGACCGGCCACAGAGCTCCCTCGCCGGTGAAATGTAAACGGTGACTCGCTCAGGAGGCCGACAAAGGGCAAGCAAAAACAAAACTCAACCTGAAGTTAATAAAAGACACCCAGCTTGCTAGCTTCACCATGTCATCTGACCAGATTATTGCCATCGTCATGGATGACAAAATCTACGAGGTGAATAAGAAGAAGCTGATAGAGAAGAGCGACTATTTCCGTGCGCTGTACAGCTCAGGTATGAGGGAGTCCACGGAGGACTCGGTGCAGCTGCAGGGGCTCAGCGTCCCCGGGCTAGAGCTGGTCCTGGAGTTCATCAACACCTCTAAAGTTCAGGTTGTCAATGAGACTCTGGAGGACCTGATTGAGACCGCCTCCTTCTTACAGGTCACCTCCATCCTGAAGCTCCTGACCTCGGAGATCCGGCTTGACAACTGCGTGGAGCTGTACAGCCTCTCTGAGGTTTATGGGACTCATGATCTGCGTAATGCTTGCCTCAAATACATGACCTGCTACTATCATCCCATGCTGAGGCGGCCTGAGTTCAGCAGCCTCCCCTCTGCTGTTCGAGACCAGGTCAGGGAGATGCGCATGAAAGGCACCGCCACCCTGGTAGCCATCGGAGACTTCACCTGTCTGTCCTTGGACGTGCCTGATCAGGATGAACCCTGGTCCATGCTGAGGTACGGAGAGGTGGAGCAGCGCTGGAAACCACTGGCAAACAACCTGCCTCCAGATATGATCAACGTCAGAGGATACGGCTCAGCTGTCCTTGACAACTACCTGTTCATAGTTGGTGGTTACAGGATGACGAGTCAGGAGATCTCTGCGGTGCACTGCTACAACCCCTGCAGGAACGAGTGGAACCAGGTGGCTCCGCTCAACCAGAAAAGGTAGGTCCAGATCTACAGTACTGTGCAAAACTTTTAGGCACTTGTTCATATTCTTATACATCACAAGATACCATCAGGGAGGCGTCTATTCATTCTGCAGTAGGGCAGCGAACCACGACATACAGCCAGAGTCATAAAGAGCTATATTCAGACAAGAAAAACAAGAAGTCCTGCAACAGATGCTGAACATCACGGAGTCAGTCTGGGATCACATGAAGACACAGACTGAGTCCACAGAGGAACTGTGGCAAGTTCTCCAAGATGTTTGGAATAACCTACCTGCCAATTACTTTGAAAAACTTTATCAATTAATTTCATACAAAATACAGTCAGCAGAAAAAAAGAAAACCTATTTATGACATTACTTTTGAAAGCATCCTCACTTTACTTTTAGTGCCTGAAACTTTTGCACTGTACTGAGCCTGCATCCCCTCACAGGCCAGTTGTCTGTTTGTTGCTGTCATGTTTCACTTCCTGTGTCCTCTTCTTTCAGGTCCAACTTCAAGCTGCTGGCGGTACAAGGGAAGCTGTACGCAGTAGGCGGCCAGTGTCTGGGCACGGTGGAGTGTTACAGCCCGGAGCAGGACTGGTGGACCTGTGTGTCCTCGATGCCCGACCCGCTGGCTGAGTTTTCCGCCTGTGAATGCCAGGGAATGATCTACGTCATGGGTGGATACACTGCAAGAGGTTAGTATAAGTTAGTAGCTACTGAAGTGTTTTTCACTCTCTGTTAAATTCTTAAGCCATAAGAGATTGTGGGAAATGTTTCAGGTGGTAGAGTAGGTTGTCTGTAAATTGCAGGGTTGGGGGTTTTTATCCCTGGCTCTTCCTCTCTGCATAATGAAGTGTCCTTGAGCAAGGCACCAAACTGCTCCAGATGAATAATCCAGGAACAAGGACACCTTGACGTGTATTATATCAATTTATATAACTTCAATTAAAGGACTTTGGCATAGGCACAGGATGTTATAGTAGTAATTGCTTCCATATTGTATAAGTTATTAGATCACTACGTGATCAACAGAAAATTAACCGCCGACTATTTAGATAATTTATTAATTGTTTCAGTAATTTTTCAAGCACAAATGCCAAACATATACTTTTCTCAAATGTGATGATTTGGTGATTTTCTATATTGTATATGATGGTAAACTGAATATCTTTGTGCTGTGGACTGTTGCTCATAAAAAAAGAAGCAATGTCAATATATCTCCTTGGTTGTGGCTGCAATTTTCAATGTTTTCTGACATTTTAGAGACAAAGCGATTAATAGTTAAATCAGGAAAATCGTCCTTTAACTGTTGCTGCTTTGACTTTTTCTGTGTCTAATAGATAGAAACACAAACGTCCTCTGCTACTGCCCCACCTCTGACACCTGGACGGTGTTTCGCTCCTGTTCAGCCCACATCCGCAAGCAGCAGATGCTCTCAGTGGAGGACACCATCTACCTGGTGGGCGGCTACACCCACGAGCTGGAGGCGGGCCGGAGGCAGCGACGCCCCAGCCAGACGGAGGACGTACTGACTGTGCAGTCCTACAACGTCACCACGGGGGAGTGGATCCAGCTGAAGGAGAACACGTCCAAGTCGGGCCTGAACCTGACGTGCACGCTGCACAACGACGGCATCTACATCATGAGCCGGGACGTCAGCCTGCCCACCAGCCTGGAGCACCGCGTCTTTCTGAAATACAACATCTTCTCCGACGCCTGGGAGGCCTTCAGGCGCTTCCCGGCTCTGGGACAGAACATGCTGCTGTGTTCGCTTTACCTCCCCAACATGCTATGACTCACAGGGCTGATGGGAAACACTTGAGTGAACACTAACAGATAGAGGAGCCTGTGCAGCATTAATATTGGCCAGTGTGTGGCTTGCTTGTTCTTGCACAGATTGCAGCTCTGTGGCATTAGTGGGAACAGCGTGCGGTTGCCAGGTTGAACCCCTCGTGACCTCTGTGCCTCGGAAAGAAAAAAAAAAAAAAAAAAAAAAAAAAGCACTACATTGTACATACTGCTGTGGATGCAAAAACAAACGCTACAATGACAAGTATGAAAGCGTTGAAGCGCCATGGCCCGTAGGTCAACAGCATCATAACAGCTAGGCCCAGTTTGTGCCTCTCATGGATTAGCATTAAAGTTGCATTCAAATCACAGTGGTAATCATCTGTACTCTGAAAATAATTGCCCAAAAAACCCACTTATGTCTGTTCTGATGGTATTTCCAGCACCCTCAAAGACTCTTAACCATCTGGATGAAAAATGTTTTGCATACTGGACGATAAACGATTTATCTCTCTTTTTTTTAATCATGCAGCTGGCCGAATATTTTTCCATCCAGATGGTTAGAAGAGTGTTTGAAGATTCTGCACATGCCTTCAGAACAGACATAAGTGGGTTTTTTAAACATTGCTGAGTAATTATTTCAGATTGTTATCACGGTGACTCAAATGTAACACTAGTGCATGAGAGGCACACGCTGCAGCTACGTAACAGCATGCTTTTAAATCTATGGGCCAGAATATTCCTGATGTTTACACTCCACATACGGCATTGGTGTACATGTTTATCCATAAGTCACTACAGACCTTAAAGTATCTCAGAAACAAAACACATTTTCTTCTCTTCATGTATTGTACATAGCAGATAATCATGAGAAATGGCTTTGGTTTTACACTGCCAGTTTTATGGGAATTAGAAGATTCTTTGAAGTTGTACTGTGGGATGTGAATTGGCTCAGAGGGAGCTTTATGTGTTGTATGTACACTTGCACACCTGTCTTATTTTCCAGAGACACACTAAGCAAAGCTTAAAGCGCAAATTCCATGAAATCAATGATGCACATGTGCCTTCTGCAACCTCAGTTGATAGGAACTTGATACAAAAAAAAAAAAGCACAAAATGCAAGACTTTGTTACATTGCCAGCAACTGACCAAAACTGCTGTGTTTTATTTTCCTTTCTGCTAAAGCAGATTTTGTTTTCATTAAGGTTGTTCTTAGTTCCTTGATTAAACAATGAGTGTGCGCAGATTTCAAAAATAAGCCTCAAAGCAACATTTATTTCTTAAACTCTAATTTTGGAGAAAGTGCCGCACTTAAAATGTTTGATTTGAAGGATTTCAGCTTTTCTCTGCATTACTTCTATCTGTTTGACAGTTTGGAAATTTAGGTCATGATAATAAAGATGATGTTCAGGGGTCTGTTTTCAAGTCCTGTTCTTGAATTCACTTTTACAACACGTGTTTTTACTTTGTTATTTCTCCACATTCTGCTTGTTTGGCCTTTATTTTCATTCAGTGTTTCCAAATCAACTGAGAAGACGGGCTCCTCGTAACATGGATAATCTGCGATTCGACCTCTTACCAAAATATCTGCCTTGTTATCGGAGTAAGTCCTGCGTCTGTGGGTCACTCTGGTCCGATGCTTGCCATGAAAATGTGGCTCAAAAGACCAGACCAATCTGTATCGGGGTTCCTCGGACCCCTGGGGGGGGGGGCTGCATGCAGGCTGTTCACATTATGTCGCCACCTGTAGGGAGTTAGGGAGGTTATGCTCGTCAGGGAGATGACACATGAACACACATTTTAGTTGTAGAGTTCTGGGGTGTACAACTGTCCTGTGATTCTGCGGCAGAAAAACATGGACAAATAAAAACCGAAACTATCTGCACCAGAAATGAGTTTTTTGTCATTTGGGTGAACTGACCCTTTAAATTACAATAAATAATCCTCAGAAGAGAATGTATTAAGCCTGTCAGCACTGTTACTCCTCTCACTCTAACATTTTCCTCCATGATTTCCACTTTTTATTTTCTGAATACTCAAGTCATCATTTAGTCTGTCAAATGTACGAAAACGGTAAAAACAAAAGTCTAAAAATGGAACAGAATTCCCGTCACAATGTCCCAGAGCACATGATGGCTTTTTTTTAAAATAGTAATACAGTAATATAAAACAGCATAAACAGAAAATCCTCATATTTAAAAAGCTGGAAGTGCTGAACATTTGGCATTTTTAGTAGAAAAAAATAACTTCAACGATCAATCCACACCTGAAAATGTTTTGTCAAATAATTACCCTCCCACAAGCTTCCAAATCATCAAATATGCCCCAAATTATTTCTCTTTTGGGAGTGTTTAGAGTATAGTCAGCAGCTTTTGAATATTTACCGAGACATCTGACGTCAAGGTCCTTGAAAGATACTGTATCTGTCTTTGTGTGGCTGAGACGTTACCATCTCTGATTGAAATCAGAGCAAAATTGCGACTGACTTCACATCTACAGAGCTGCGTGTGTCCCTCTGTGGCTGTAAAACGCCATCTGAATTCATTAAACATCATGCTCCACAGTCTGAATACTGATGCATGTGAAACACCCGAGAAAAGAGAGGAGAGGCGACCAGCAGGGGGCAGCACACGCTTTTCAAACATCACATTCCTCAGTAGGCAAACTAGTTTCCACTTCACCTTCACAAGGACTCCCTGTTTTATAATAATAAAAAAAAAAATCATCATTCTTCCATTTCAGCTCTCTCTTTTGATACTATCATACATTTTCTGAAAGTAGAAGTTTCACATGAAACCTTCCATACCTGCGGGCTGAATCATCACTGATACAAATACGTGTCATCGCCATCTTCAGAGGTCAGGAACAAACACGGGTGTTATTTATAGATTTTGTTGGTGTGGACGGATGGACGGATGAATGAATGGAAGAAATTGGGTTCTTTAATTCCCAGTGGCTGGCACATGGGGGGAGAGGGGGGGGGGATCAATGGTTGCCATCAAGTGGTCCAGATTGATCCCCTGTGTGGGGTCAGACCACAGTGATCTCTCACACCTCCACAGCAGGGAACAACGCGGGGAACGTGTCTGACATGATGTGGTGCCGCGGCTACGGAGTGTGTTTGTAGATTAAAGGTGGAGTGTAAAGGTTTGAAATATTACAGAGTGTTTGCTTTTTTCTTTCTGTTTTTTTTCCGGGTGAGAGTCAACTGAGTAAATGTGCTGTGAATTCAGAGGTGAGCATGCGTCTGTGTCGAGTGTGTGACGGAAAGAGGAGGGCTGAGAGAGAGAGAGAGAGAGAGAGAGAGAGAGAGAGAGAATATACTCCTGAAAGCAGAGATGTGAGTTTAACACACACACACACATACAGAGAGAGAGAGAGAGAGAGAGAGAGGGAGAGAGAGAGAGAGATACAAGGACAGACAGCACTGAGGGGAGGGAAAAACACACACTCTGTCACACCTACCCCACAGCCTCACACAGCCTCTGTAAGAGACAGAACTGGTCCTGACATTGTGAGGAAGATGAATGGCTGCATGAGAGGAGCATCCAGGACAGGACATTAGCTCCTGAAGCTGCTGAGACAAATACATGCCAAGGACTACAAACAAACAGAGAGAGAGAGAAAGAGAGAGAGAGAGAGAGAGAGAGAGAGAGAGAGAGAGAGAGAGAGAGAGAGGGAGCACAGCAAGCCCAGAGGGAAGGACAGCAGCGTTTCAGAGAGGGGTAAAACAGAGTGGAAGAGGCAGGTTTATTCTGCTGCCAAGGACCTTAAAAAGGATCTAAACTGCAAAACTAAAAAGCTGCATTTTGGGGTTTTGTCGTCCTCCCTGCACACGGAAATCCACTCCTTCTCCTTCTGCCTGCAGAGAGCTCCCAGTCCACCTCCTCCTGCTGCTGCTGCTGCTGCTGCGAGGTTACAGTCTCCGTGCTTCTGTGCACAGCACCAGAACAGACTGCTTTGTAGTCCGAGACCATGAGTGAGGCGAAGAAAGGTGAGCTAGCCATCCGGGATAAAGCCATTCTGCACCAGCAGAGGCGTCTGAAGCAGGCCACCCAGTTCACACACAAGGACTCAGCTGACCTCCTGCCCCTGGACGGGCTGAAGAGACTGGGCACGTCCAAAGACTTGGTGAGTGGACTTTCAGATGAGTGCTTCAGGCAAATCAGTTCATAATTTGACTCCATTGGAGATTGGAGAGGCTGTTGTCTGCGTTGCCATGTGCTGAGCGGCTGTTAAAGGTTGAGTTTAAGTGGAAGAAGGTGTCAGAATTGTACAGTATCCTGCTGTGTCTGACAATATCTGAGAGAGATAGTACAAGGTGGTTAAGTCATATCGACTCAGCTTTGCGACACACAGTTCCTTGTCAAAACCTGACGCCTACGTTACCCACAATGCAACTCTATCCGCTGACCTGTTTGGTGGGATACTCAGGTGTCTTACGTTAGTGTCGGGTTGATGTGGCCTCGAGCCGTTAGCGTCTAGCAGAGAAGAGCAGCAGGCTGCAGGCGTCTGCTAAAGTCCCCAGACCCGACCGCCGCTGACTCAAGTGACATCACACGAGGACATGGCTCCCTCTGGACTTTTTCCACATATGTAGTATTGCTCTCCAGCACCTGTAAATAGACTTGTGTGTTGACTTCGTGGGTGGAGTTCCCCTTTAATCACCACGTTGCTGCTTCGACACTTTACTTGTTGGCAAAACGGAGAAAGATTATTTTCATTATCGATTAATCTGCTTAATTGATTAATTAAGTTTGTGAAGTGGCAGAAAACTGTCAAAAAAAAAATGTAGGGCTGCAATAATGATTACTGTTATGATCTTTTATTATTTATAATCTGCTGATTATTTTCTCGATTAATACGAAGATAGTGAAAACATCAGCTATAATTTTGGTGATATATTTTCTTAATTGCTTGTTTTATTAGACCAACATCCCAAACCTTAAAGTTTATTGTCGATACCTTGTAAATTGCTCATTTGGTTATAAAATATAGTTGCTGATTAATATTCTGTTGGTCTAATAAACTTACAGCTCCATAAAAATGTCCAAAACCAAAGATATTCAGTTTACAGTGATATGAAATAGAGAAAAGCAGCAAATCCCCACTCTGAAGAAACATCATGCTTAAGGAGCAATTTTACTCCTAATACATGATAATAACCACCATTTGCTTTAAACACTAATGCATTACTCTGCTGTGTGTGCTTTAAGTCATCAAAGGGAAATTCGTCATTGAAAGGGTCATGAAAGATTCAGAGCCCGGCACTCTCCATGCAGAGGAGGGAAGTCAAAGCTGGTCACACTTCGCTGTGCTGGGGCTCTCACATAGAGACTGATGTCATTACACATTCAGAAATTTTAGGGTTGGCGTAGAAGATGAAAGGCAATCCTGCATTTAAAGTGGGACATGTCCAACCTCTTCACTTCTTCTTCTTCTTCCAAAAAAGCCTCCTGAACTGACACTGTTATATTGTGTACACTCTGGAGGAACTCCCTGTAATAATCCTAACAATTTATTACTCTCTGCCTCTGCTCTGACACAGTTCTGGTTTGATGGCAACTTCCCAGATTCCCCAGAGCTTTCCAAGAACCTCGACACAATCGCTCTGGCACTGGGAAGCAGCACTAGCAGTGCTCTGTGCTCTGCGAATATCACACTGTGATGAATTTAATGTCTGCCAGATTTTAATACCAACATTTGCTGCTAGAAAAACATTCCAACCCCCCGCTCCTCTTCTTTGATGATAGATATGTTTTCTCTCTCTTCCCTCCATAATGCACCGTGTCTTTCTGGTGTGACACATAATCTAAAACCACAAGTGTGGCAATAGTAAGTAGATGCTATTTAAGCTATAAATACCAATTTCTCTGCTGTAGATTTGTAGCCCAAGGCTTTATTGACAGAAACGTTAGTCCACCACTTCTGCAGACTGAAATATCTCAACAACTGTTGGATGGATTACTGTGAAATTTGATGGAGACATTCACGTCCTCCTCAGGATTAATCATAGTAACTATGGTCCATCTAGCGCCATCATCAAGTCCAAATACCTTAAAAACAAATGACTTTTCTGTCAGCCTCAGCTGCAAAGCATAGTAAACATTATACCTGCTAACCATTAGCATGTTAGCATGTTATGTTTACTATTTGTGCGCACCATTTATCATCTTTGAGAACTTTTTCTGATGTTTTATATCATCGGTAATTAAATATCTTTCTGTTTTTTGACTGTTGGTCAAACAAAAAAACAAACAAAACAAGCATTTTGAAGACATAACTTTGTGTTTTGGGAACTTTTTTAAGACTAAAGAATCAAACAGTCAAAAAATGAGAAGAAGAAAACAACAGTAGCTTCGGCAAAGTAATAATTTGAAGATACACAAGTTATTTTTAAAAATATATTATCATCCAGGAGTTTGGGGGCTCTGTACTACACGAAGATACAACATTATACCTGCTAAACATCAACATGCTAGGATTGCAATTGTGAACATGCTGACGTTAGCTTTTTGCTAGCAGCTCTAAATCAGCGATGCTAGCATGGCTGTAGATAACCTGTTCCTGTGATGGCAGCCAGAGTGTTTCAGGCGACAGAGATGAATCAAATGCTATTATACATAACACTATAAAAGATAAAACGAAAAAGTAATCTAAGTCATGATATGATTTTCCCCAAAACTCTATTAGATTCAAGGAGCTTAATGTTTAGCCTGAGATTCAATATCTCCTGCAGTGGCCTGAAAACGCTCTTATCAGAATACCAATTATCTTCTCCTTGAAGACAGAATGAAGCTCATCTCAATACCCAATCTGTGGCGCAGACGTGGCCACAGGGAGAACAGTGCAATTTGCATGGCATCTGTAACAAGTGATTTTCGGTGTCAGAACAGCTTTGGGAACTGGAGGGAGGAGTGGAAATTGCCAGCAGTCCTCCGTCATGTCTGTATCTGTTCTCTGCAGAGAGCGCATCGTTCAGGCTTCGAACAGACATCGATGGGCTAAATGAAAAGAGAGCATGATGTGTTTCTGAGGTGGCTCACATACCAAACCTTTACAGACAAAAGATGAGATCATCCGGATGAGGCTGTCGCATCCATTTGTTTGTCTGTAGGCTGTCTGACTAAAAACCGGCCTCCTCCACTGTATATCCTGTTTTTATCTGAATATTTTCTTTTTGTTTCGTGACCTTCATAAACAAAGGTCGTACCTTACATGTCAGACATTGATCTTAGGGGGATAAATCATCATTTTTATTTATTATAAACAGTGAGTCTGACATTGTCCAAAGCCAAGAGATCTGCTGACCAGCACCTCTAAGAGTCACTTATTAGCATGCTATATCTGGCTTGTTTAATCTGTACAATCAGATTAACACAAAAACGTTTATGTTGTTGTTTTACGGGAAGTTATGTGCTATTTCTTAGCGAAGAACAGCTTGTCCATTTTACATTTGTATTGTGTTAATTATTGAGCTTTTGTGGTGCTTGTATTTGTAAAAAAAAAAAAACGTGAGCTATCCCTTTAAATAATCAAATTAACAGTCCGCTGCTACACGCTCCGCTCACTTCAAATCAGTAAAAACAGTGCACAGTCTTTGGTGTTTACACTTGCTAAAGAGAACCATGCAGAGCCATGCACAGATCCTCTAGCTGTAGCCTCGTCTTTCTCCCTGTTAATTTCTGCTAGCTGGCCTGTCCTCTCTGGTGTGTAATTCAGCAGCCGAGCCCATTACGTAAGAGTGAATTTGTTTTGCTGCTCTTTAGCCTGAGGTCCTCTCACTCTCAACAGCAGCAGCAGCAGCAACAGTAGCAGCAGCAGCAGCAGCATCAGCATCACTCCGGCCATGTTGTGCTGCAGAGTGAGGGAAGCAAGGAGCATGAAAAGGGCAAAAATCCTCAGCTCTAACACAGGAGCGATGGAGGGGAAGGAAAGAGGCGACGGGAGATGGGGTCAGGGAGGACGCACGGTTTAGTGGAGCAGTTTTATATAACACGATGTAGAGCGTGGAGTAGATGCATGGGTGTAGGAAGTAAGGAGAGTCAACAGGAGTGAATGTGTGTGTTTGGGGGATTGAGTTGGAAACATCTGAGCCCGGTTACATTAACACCTGAGCTCATCACCGACCGAGTTATTGTGTAACCACTGTGTAACCTCACTGTTTTTTTTTTTTACTGTACACACTCAACATTTACTTTACAAGGGAAATAACACATGAAGAAGAAAGCAACGAGGTTGGTTCATGCAGCAAATCAGAATTTTTAAAGGGCAATACCATCATTTATGTTGAAGCTCCCTTCATGTAATCAGTTGTTTCATTTAAAGTTTTTACATTTTTATGCCCAAAATGTGGAGGAGGAACTGTTTTTACATGATTTAGTGATTCCATGATGTTACTCTTTAGTGAAACTTGTACAAATTTATTTTTTGGGTTGGTTTTACTTTAACAAAAGGTCGACTTTAATGTTGGCTTTAAAGGGTCACTACACCCAAATTACAAAAAGACCCAAACACAACAACAAAACCACCAAAATTGCATCTTAGTCCAATTCAGAGGCACGTGCACTTTATTTGAGCACTATAATTTTATGCTACATTATACTTTAAGTCCACTACGTTTCAAAGGGAAAGAGAGTTTTTTTTAGCTTTAGCTTTAGCTTTGCAATCTCAGCTTAAGGTCCACTTACACATTTTGTCTGAAGCCTTAAACTGTATCACATGTCGTTTCGGTTTTACTCTCTGAGGTTTGGAGGCATCTTTTTTTTTCTGCTCATAGAAACTATTTCCTCAGTGGAAAGTAGTTCTGATTAAAACTGTTGACACTGAGGTTTGTGTCCAGACAAATGTGGACAAAGAGACATTCAGTGCAAATAAAAACCCAGTTAATAAGTAATACAGAGAGATGATTTATATGTAATATATAACTTCAAATATTGTCACTCTTGCAGCTGCTAACTAGACTTTTAGGTCATAATTGCTATTTTATTAAAAGGAAATGGAGAATGAAAAGTCGCACACTGACTAACTGATGCATTTATTTCAACTTAGAAGTATCGATGTTTGGCAAACAGCCTGAATATTATCAAGCACTGCACTAGAAATATGTTTTAAAAATGACATATCAGCTA